AAGGAAGGTTGGGCAATCCTACTTCCGTAGTGATACTGCCTCGGAAACCCAAGGAGGGGTCGCTATGAGTCGGGGCCGACTCTACGGCACATAACAACAACAACAACAATGATCTTAAATATCTCTGGCTCTGGTGTTGTAGTGGTTGAGGCATTTGGCTGCTAACCAAATGGTCAGTGGTTTAAGCCCACTAGCTACTCCGTGGAAGACAGATGGGACAGTCTACTTCTGTAAACATTGACAGTGTTGGAGACCCAGTGGGGGTCACTATGAGTTGGAATCAGCTCGATGGCAGTGAGCTTGGTTGTTCTTTTTGGGGACATATGTGTATTTCCAGCTTTTTCCACTGAAAAGGCCTAGAAACCATAACAAACTCATCCCTAACACCCAGATTGTGGTCCCTAGTCCCCACTAAAGTGTTCTTTAAGGAAAATGGCTGTTTTCTGTTCTGGAGAGCAATTGTAAGCCTTGAGGCTGGACATCTTTATATATCAGAAAATGAAGAAGCCATCAGAGATTACGAGGGCCATGTCAAAGTCTCAGAGATCAGCCATAAGGTCATAATAATGCTAAAATGACAAACATTCTCAAGTATCTAGATCTAATCAGCAATGTATAGAAAATACAGGGACAGACACCATAGGGCTGCAGTCAGCAGAAAGCAGACTGTGGTGAACTCTACAGTTCCTATAAAAACTAAACCAAATTCACTGCCATTGAGTTGGATCCAACTCATAGCAAGCCCTCCTTGGGTTTCCGAGGTGGTATCTCTACGGAAATAGATTGTGCAGTCTTTCTTCTGAGGAGTGGCTGGTGAGTTTGAACCACCAGCCTTCTGGTTAGCAGTCAAGTGCCTTAGGCACTGCGCCACCAGAGTGCCCTTCAGTTTCCCATAGTAGGAAACTATTCCTCTCAAAACATGTAAGAGAGAGAAAAGAAGGAGGAGAAGGAGGGGTAACCAGAGAAGAAGGAAGAGGGGTTTATAGATTGAGAGAGACTGAGACTAATCACAGTGTAAGGAGCCCTGGTGCTGTTGGGTTAAGGCATTCAACTGCTAACCAAAAGGTTGTGGTTCGAACCCACCAGCTGCTCTGCAGAAGAAAGATGACGGATGTAGTCTGCTTCTAGGAGACTTACAGCCTTGGAAACCCAGTGGCAGTCACTATGAGTTGGAATCGACTCGATGGCAGTGAATTTGGTTTAGCTTGAATCACAATGTATGATCTTATATAGGTCCTGGTTCAAATGAACATATTGAAAGAATTAAAACATCCATAAAGACATTTAGGGAAATAGAGGCTCTGGATAATGAATTGTATCCCTGAGTGGTGCAAACAGTGAAGTGCTCCACTACTAGCCAAAAGGCTGATGGTTCAAGGTCATGGAAGGAACCTTGGAAGGTAGGCCTGGAGAGCTGTGGAGCAGTTCTGTTCTGCGCACATGGGGTTGCCGTGAATCAGGATTGATTCAACAGCAACTAAAAACAAGAAGACATTTGGGGAAACAGAAAATACTCATTGCTGTTGCATTGATTCCTACTCATAGTGACTCCTTAGGACAGGGTAGAGCTGCCCCGTAGGGTTTCCAAGTCTGTAAATATTTACAGAAGCAAACTGCCACATCTTTCTCCCATGTGATTCAAACAGCCAACCTCTCAGTCAACAGCTGAGTGCCTAACCACTATGCCAGTGGGGTGTCTTTGGGAAATAGAAACACTGGATAATTAATGATATAAAAGAAATAATTGTTGAGTTTCAGGTGAAGTGATGGTAATTTATTTGTGTTTTTCAAAGACTACTAGTCATTTTTAGAGATCCACACTGAACTGTTTAAGGATGAAATGC